TTTGTTTTCTCCAATATAAAGATCAGAGCATTCCTCGCTGCATTGAACTGCAGACACTCTGCTCAGATTAGGTCTTTAGGATGAACTGGTCTGTGTTTCAGGGTCTGTTTGGTTTGAAATATTCTGGGATTTAGTTTTAGTTTAGTTTTTTTCCTAAACAGAAACAAAGCCTGTTGGTCCACTCTATAAAGCCTGGAACTCAACACTATTCCTGTTAACTTGTTTTAACTTTTCTGGAATCTCTGCAGAACAACTAGAAATAAAAAAGAGGTTCTGGTTCCAGATTATCAGAAGCTTCCTGATCAGGTGGTCCTCCGTTTGTTTCTACACTGGATCAATTAAAGGTTCTAGAAGTGGTCCAGAACCACTTAGGTCCTCTGATTGATCCTCTGGGTCAATAGAACCTAAATGGAACCTCTGGGGTTCTGCCTTCACCTGCTGCTTCTTCTTTGGTGGTAGAGCTGGGGCAGGAAGCTGGTCCACAGAGGGGGTGGAGTCTGTCGTCTGGGAAACCAGTGGGTGGGTGGAGTCTTGGCCTCGCTGCCTGACTTTGTACTTCTGATAGAGGAGAAGCGCAGACTGGTCGGTGTAGGACGAACAGAACTGAAGGTACTGATGGACTGAGGACAGAGGACAGAGGACAAAGGACGGGGAACAGACGATTAGAAGACCTTTGATTTCAACCAATCAGCTGCTGTGTTTTTACTCACTGTGTCGTTTCTTCTCAGGGAGGGGAGGGGGCGTCTTACTGGGGGACAGGGGTGAGGACACGGGGACATCAGGGTCTATGATGGCATCACTATTGGTTAAGGGTGTCTCTGCGTGGGCGGAGTCAAACTCAAAGGTGGACGTATTGAGAAGACCTGTGGTACCTACAAGGAGGAGACAAGGCTTGTAAGGAGGGACAGGAGCAGGAGGACAGACAGGTGTGTCCTCACCTGTGGTGCTGCGACGCCTCTTCTCTGGCAGGGCGGGGGGCAGTGGGGGGAGCTTCTCCGAGGAGGACAGGTCCGTGTGCAGGAAGTCATAGTCTGGATCGTCGTCTGAGAAGGAGACAGAATCAGAAACCGGTCCAAACGGTTCAACCGGTTCACCCGGTCCAACTGGTCCACCCGGTCCACTCGGTCCAACTGGTCCACCCAGTCCAACTGTTCAACCCGATCCAAACGGTTCAACCGGTCCACCCAGTCCAACTGGTCCACCCGGTCCACTCGGTCCAACTGGTCCACCCAGTCCAACTGTTCAACCCAATCCAAACGGTTCAACCGGTCCACCCAGTCCAACTGGTCCACCCGGTCCACTCGGTCCAACTGGTCCACCCAGTCCAACTGTTCAACCCGATCCAAACGGTTCAACCGGTCCACCCGGTCCACTCAGTCCAACTGGTTCACCCAGTCCAACTGTTCAACCCGGTCCAAACGGTCCACCCGGTCCAAAAGGTTCAACCCATCCACTCGGTCCAACTAGTCCACCCAGTCTAACCGGTCCACCTGGTCCAACTGGTCCACCCAGTCCAACTGGTCCACCCAGTCTAACCGGTCCACTCGGTCCAAACTATTCCACCCGGTCCAAACGGTTCAACCGCTCTAACAGGTCCAACTGCTCCAATCAGAACCTGCTTCTCCTGCTTTTGGACTGATCCAGAACCAAGAGTCCAGGAACCACCAGAACTGGCGAGGAAACCTGCATCATTAAACTCCCAGAGTGGTTCTAACTGACCTGCTCCAGCAGGGACAACCCTAGGACCCATAGTGGGAGGGGCTTAGCCCAGGAAGGATGCTTTAGTGCTCTAAAGCTTGCTAGCTGAGAGCTAAATGTTTACTGTGGTTCTGAACAGTCAGACTGAATCACAGCCGTCCTCTCTGGGCCCTCGGACCACAGTAGACCAGAGTTTTAATCGATGGCCACTAACAGGTTTAAATAAAAGACTGGGAATGAAGTCAGCTTCATGTTTAACATTACAATCAAAGAATCATCTTCCATCCATCTATCAACGAATCTGTTCTGAATGAAAGAGTACCTTTCTGTCCAGCCCAGTCCTGGTTCACTATAGCCCGCACCGCCACCAGCCGGTCACTGACAGCAGGCATGTACGCTGAACAGGGTCCTAGTGCCCCTGATTTACAACATGACCATGCTCTCTTATTGAACGGACGTGAGAGCTGATCAGATAATGAAGAAGTTAGTGGGTTTGATGATCCTGGTCCAACAGCTCCAACCTGATGGAACCGGCAGCTTGGTTTAGATGGATCGGACTGCCTTCCATAACCGGATCCAGTACAGATCCTCAAGGTTGTGCAGGAGGTTCTGGTGAACTTTCACCATGCTCCATGCATTCAGTCTGGTTTTGGTTCCTGTTTCAGGTCCAGATTGAAGACAGAACCTTCCTGAAATCAGTGCTAGGTTGTGACCAGCAGGGGGCAGCAGACGCTACAGGGAAGAAGTGGCTGCTGACAGGATGTGATGTCACACGGCCTGGATGTCTGTGTGTGTGTGTGTGTGTTCCTGTTTATGCTGCTTAGTAAGGACCGTTTCTGGTGTTTCACCAGCAAAGTGAGGACACTGAGTTCAGGTTTCAGAGACACTCTGGTGTTTGTGGGGGTGTTACCATAGAGCGAGGTGTTGGCCGCAGAGCCAGCAGAAGAAGAAGAGAGTCGCTTCCAGAAGCTGTCGTCCTGAAACACACAAACCACCCAGTTAACTATAAAAACCACACATGATGGTGAAGCTCACAGGCTGAGATGTCAAAAACAGACCGATCGAACCAGAGATCTGCTCTGAAGGCAGCAAACCTTCTCATGTTTGCAGATGGTGATAGAAAGTGGTTCTCCTGCTCTATAAGGAGGACACTGAATCACGCTGAAACACACTGAAACACTGAACCACGCTGAAACACTGAACCACACTGAAACACTGAATCACACTGAATCACGCTGAAACACACTGAAACACTGAACCACGCTGAAACACTGAATCACGCTGAAACACTGAACCACACTGAAACACTGAATCACGCTGAAACACTGAATCACGCTGAAACACTGAACCACGCTGAAACACTGAATCACGCTGAAACACTGAACC